CCCGGCGGGGGGGGCGGCCCAGGCGCGCCTGGGATGCCCCCCCCGCCGGCTTCCCCCGAGGCTTTCAAAGCCGCGGAGGGGCTCCGGCGGCGGGGCATCCGGCGTACAAGACGACCCCCGATTTTTGGGGGATGTTTTTTAACATCAGAGGTCGTCTTGTACGCCGGAATATACGGTAATTCAGTGTAATGCAGTATGAACAGAGCACATAGAAAGAGCAAGAAAAACCACTAATAGTTTTTTGGCTAAAACAGTTGTGATACTTTATATTTTTGACGTTCAATGAGAAAAAATAGATCAGGATTTATTATTTTAAAATCCTAATGTGTGGTTCTGGGGATTTTCTGCCTGATGACATCAGTGAAAGTACATGATGGTCAAAGTATCTGAAGCTTAGTACTTGTTATAATACCATTCCTGACTTTAAAAAATAAAACAAACAGGACAAAGCAAAAAAAACCTATTCCTGGCAATGAAATCCGGTAAGTTCTGTTTTGTCACATTTCTGAGGAATTTTTTTAACCAACATGAAACGTAACTGAAAACATTTACAGCTGCAAATTACCTTTTTAAAATCTAAACTGATCACCTACTACAGATGTAGTTCAATTAAGGTTTCTTTCCTATATATTAGGATACTAGATACTAATTTAAAAGTGACAAAATATAAATTACCAAGCAAAAATCAAAGTAACTTTTTCAACAGTATGAATCATTTCAAGAATACCAATTCATCTCAGCTATGTAGGAGAGGGAAGACTTTCTTAACTTCATAATCAGTATGAAAAAATAATGTATTACATATTGATAGTGCATGTTTTATTAATTAGAAGACATTCCAGGCCTTGTAGGCCTATGAGGTTTATCGTGTCAAATGTTAGTTGTTAAGACAGTCCTTCAAATATGACACTCTGAACAGCTTTCAAAAAGGAATGCTTCTAATTATGTATTTAGTGGTTCAGTAGGTGAAACTTACTTGTGAACATACCACAATTTTCGTTATAAATAAAACAAAATGAGGTGGTATGATTGGGAGAAGGGAAATTTTAACGTCTACTGCAGATTAGCATAATGAGCCCAAAGCCCCACAGAATCAGAGAAATTTAAAACTGGAAGGGATCTCAATAAGTCATCTATTCCAGTTCTCTGGAATGAGGCAAGACTATCTAGACAAGTGCTTGTTGTTTAATAACTGCCAAGCACAGAGATACCACAATGTCTCTAAGGGTATGTCTACACTACCCTCCTATTTCGAAATAGGAGGGTAATGTAGGCATACCGCAATTGCAAATGAAGCCCGGGATTTGAATTTCCCGGGCTTCATTTGCATAAGCTGGGCGCCTCCATTTTTAAATCCCGGCTGGTTCGAACCCCGTGCCGCGCGGCTACACGCAGCACGAACTACGTAGTTCGAACTAGGCTTCCTAGTTCGAACTACCGTTACTCCTCGTGGAATGAGGAGTAATGGTAGTTCGAACTAGGAAGCCTAGTTCGAACTACCTAGTTCGTGCCGCGTGTAGCCGCGCGGCATGGGGTTCAAACCAGCTGGGATTTAAAAATGGCGGCGCCCGGCTTATGCAAATGAAGCCCGGGAAATTCAAATCCCGGGCTTCCTTTGCAATTGCGGTATGCCTACATTACCCCGCTAGTTCGAAATAGCGGGGTAGTGTAGACATACCCTAAGTAATTTGTTCCACTGCTTAACTACATGTATAGTTAAAAAGTTACTCATACTGTCTAACCCATATCTCCTTTATTACAATTAAGCCCACTATTTCTTATCCTGTCCTCAGTGGATAAGAAGAACAATTTATTATCCTCCTCCTATCAATCTTTTACATACTTAAGTATCATTATATTCCCCCCTCAGTCTTCCCCAGACTAAACAGACTTAGTTTTTTCAAACTTTCCTCATAAGTCATGTTTTCTGACTTAATATTTTTAGTTAATCTCATCTGGGTTTTCTCAAATATGTCCATATCTTTCCTGAAATGCAGCACCCAGAACTGTACACAACCCTACTCTGCACTGAGTAGAAGAATTCTATACTGAGTAGAAGAATTACTCCTGCTAATACATCCCAGAATTATGCTTGCTTTTTTTGCAACAGTATAACATTGCTGACTTATATTTAATTTGTGATCCATAATAACCATATCGCTCCCATTAAAAAAATATACATGTGCCACAGAAAGTCGCTTAACAAGATTGCTCTATTATTTAACTACTTTTATGTTCAGTCCAAGGCTTATGAGAGCATATTCTGTCAATTTGAGGTAATGTCACATTACCCATTTTTAAATATTTCAAAAGGCAGAAAGGGATGAGCAATATTAGAGGAACTAGAGTCTGTTCAAGAGTTACTAGTAGGAAGCTAAATAACTGCATTATCTCTCAACTAAATTTATTTGTGAGCAGGTTTATTTTCTGAAGTACAGCACAATTAATTGGTGGTGAATTTTTTTACGAAGAAAGCATTTGATAAAGGCAATATGTAACAATTAGTGCACCAAAAATACAGGCTGTCCTTTCATTTAATACATACTGAGGTATTACAGAGTAAATGAAAATATACAATTTAATCACGTATAGCATGGTTTCCTGTTTTAAGGAGAAATTTGATTGGAAATTTGAAAATAAAGCATTCCTTGAAATGCTGGGAGTGCAAACAAAATCTCAATACAAATAGCAAATGCAAATATTCCCACAGAAAACGCAGTGGTTATATTCCCAATGTAGTTATATTTGTGCATAAGAATGCAAACTAGAGCTGGACAAATAATAGATTTTTGGTTTGCTGGTAATTCAGAAAAATTGAAAAGGGTTATTTTCAAGTCAAACTGAAAAGAAAGGCTAAAGAAATGCTTAAGTTTTAACTGAACTTGAAATTTTGTTTTAATTTTGGACATTTTTTACAAAGCTGAGGAGGACAAGAGTCAAAAAAGAAGCATAAGAGACGGAAACAGCTCTCCCCTAATAACCTCTGGCCCAATGATCTGGGTACTCACCCAGGATGTGGGAGACTAAGTTTCAATTCCCCCTTCTATTTCATGAGAAAAAGAGATTTGAATTTAGGTCTCCTAAATTGCAGGATAGTGGTGTCACTACTGCGCTATTCTGACATGAGGTTCTCTCGTTTCTCTCCTATTGTAGCTGTTGTACTTTTTATAAATATTCATTGAAGCAGAAGCTTGGGTTACCTATATCATAGGAGAGTGTTCTAAATAGCCAGCTATAAAGCCATTTTCACTCTCTCGTTTCCTGTTCTAATGACGAAGAATTGTTGCTATGAATGACAATTAAGAACCACT